CACCAGGCATGGCACAGGGCCCCAGGCATTACTAAGCAGTCTGCACAGTAAGAGATAGCATTCTACTGATCTTTCCCCGTACCCCTCCTCCCTCTTCCTCCTGAATGTCAGGAGCAAGACAAAACATAAGCAACAGAGCTTTAAAAGTGCTACTAATGCATGTCAGTGGGTTTTCCTCACAGAAATAAATCCAAGTCCTGGTGTGTGGCTAGTGACCTGCCTGGATGTACCAGATGCTTCCTAAGTCTGGGATCCTGGAGTCATTGTTCTTTTTCCGTGTGGAAATGGGAACCAAAACCATGGGAGTGTGAAGGCAGGCTCCTAGGTATACTTACTTGGCTGTGTTTATTCTGTGTCTTTAGGGGGATCTTCCCTCTTTACACCAACTACCTCACCAAACAGTGATTTTCTGTGCCTTCAGATACTGTCTTGTTCAGCCTAGCACACAGTAGGCACACTAGGCACACAATAGGTGTCTGTTAAGTGAGAAATGCTAGGCATGGAAGATGGTGAGATGGGCTTCAGCTGTTGGAGTCCATGCTCACGTGGGGAGTTGAGTTAACCAACAAGGACAGGGTAGTTTGATGGTCAGTGCAACAGGAACGAAGAAGGGGAAGATCCACTCTGCTCTAAAATGGTGATGCATGACATAGCAGACCACATTGGGATGTTAGAAGTAGATGAAAAGATGGTGGGAAAGGTATTCCTAGAAATCACTGTAACACTCTGGCCAGGGATGAGACCCTTACTTGACCAGAAAGGGAGATTATTTCAGGACAACAGCCATATTGGATAAGCCTGCGGATTGACAATAGGTAGGTAGAACAAGGAAAACTTGGCCCGGGCCTTAAGAATCCATTATAAACTAAGGCAGGCAGCAAGGATAAAGAGTGAGTTTGTAGTAAGATCAGATTACTATAGTGGCCTCTTTTGCCTCCAAACCAGCATCAGCTTAGTTTTATGTTGTAGATCCCAGAGGATTCTTCTTATTGGTGACCACATAGCCTTTCTTCTGGTGAACTCCACTGTGAAAGGAAGACTATGTGCCAGCGGAAGCTGAACTGATTGATGAATCTCAAAACTAAGTTCACAGTTAGAAGAGTAAATATCCTACCCGTTCAAATGATTAGTAACTGAGTTCCATTTTCAGATTTTACAAACTTCTAGCTGTTCAGCTATGGAGGTCACCAAAGTTTCTTGATTTGCAACAGATTCTAACAGAGGCTCTTACCTCAAATGTCCCGTGTCGTTTCCTTGCTCTCTGCCACCTGGGAAAGTGTTCTATTGTATTTGATGTTAGTATTTTGGTTTTAATCTTGAAGATGAAATTTAGTGTGGAATCTTAAAATCAAATTGAAGTATCTTTCTGCTCTGATTTTAGGCTATTGTGAGAGCACCACCAGCAGGACCATCACAGATCTTGGTTATGGCAGCTCAGGCAAGAAGCTGTTGAGCTAGACCTCTTCCCCATAGATGAGAAGCCACAGAAGCAGTGGTAAGTGAAACATCTACAACCGTTCTTTAGTGGGAAGTTGATGGTCGACATGACCCGTTTACCACATCACCACACGTCACCTCATATATGGATCTGAAGAAGCACTGCTCAAAATGGGGTCAATCTAAGCAAAAATCAGAGGAAAAGAGCATGTACGTTAATTGATGGTATGGTACTTCTAATATTGCATATAATTCTGTGGCTTTGAGATACACCACAGCAATCATCTCCGTGAGCCATCCCAGTCTACGTAGGATAGCTTCAGTTAATAACTCCATGTTGTAGAGGTTGGGTGACATTATTTTAAGTGGCCCTGTTTGTTTTCAGCATGCCACTCGATTGATTAAACTCTTTTAGTGGAAAAGTTGGTTCTGAGTTAAATTATGACTGGTTTCTTTCAGAACCAATCCTGTATGTGTCACCCCACCTCATACCCCTCACACACATCATTTAGCTCTTCAGACACACAAGAAAGAGAACTCCATTACACTTGTGGATATTTTCAGCTATAAATCCATTTGGTCAGGAAAACAACATTAAAGTTATAGTTAGTTGCTCTGCCTGCTTAGAATAATTTGAAAAAAATGTATTATTTAAAAAAAATATTAGTGTGCCCAAATACAATGTCTATAGTCAAATATGTACTGGTTTTATAGTCGCCAAAGTCAGCAGTTAGTAAGCTAAAGTCAAGAAGAGGAAGCTATGGTCTGCCAAATAGCATCTTTAAGGAACACTCTGCAGTATCGGTGCCTGGAAGACTCCATGAAAGGAAGCTGTTGGTGCTGGCAATCAATGTCTCACTTCCATTTGCCTGGTGGCTCCTTCAGAGCAAGGCTGTCCCATGCCTTAATGTGACTCCTACAGCTGCAGAAATCTGAGGAAATTAATTCTATAGTGATTCACACTATGGTTTTTACAATCTGCCAACCATCACACTGAAGATGCAAATCCAATATCCAAGATCCACTATAGTGTGCTTTACAAAAATGCGTTGTGTGTTCATTATAAAGGAAGAATCATAGATAATTGCCAATAACCAACCACTTATGATCTATAACAATGACAGTTTTATATGGTTGACTCTAATATTTTTCTGTATGTTACGTGATTAGAAGGCATGCTCTATTCCCAGGCTAAACATTTATCTATTAAGCTAACATTTAACGAGAATCCGTCGTGTAGATATACTGTTAGCTTGTTGACTAGATGGAGTTCTCTGTCTTAAAGGACTTTGCAGTTTAAAGAATGTGTCACTTATATGATGTGTTATTATCAGGACAAATATATCCTAAAGATTGTGTACTTGTGAAGTGTGTTTCGGTAGGTAGACACAGTGTTCAAAGGGATTTCAGAGAGAATCGTACAAATACAGTGAAAATTAGAAAAGGAAGATTTCATGGAAGGGATATTTTAGTGGAAGAGGTTAGCCAGAGGAAAGGCACAGTCAGTTCATGGCAGGGACACTTAGACAATCGGCTGCAAGAGTGCGTGCTTGGGAGCACCCATGCTCAGCACGGGTGGAGAGGGGCGTAGGAGACATGAGGGATGTCAGCTGAGGTGCTTAGAGTTTGCACTACAATGAAGAGCTTTGGGGATCTTAAGGCAGAGAGTGATGCGACTGGCTTATTTTAAAATTGTAGATATTTTTTCTACTAGAAGAATATATCTTCTATTATATATAATAGGATATATATTATAATTAGAAATGGAAGGTGAGGAAGACAATCATGCATCATATGTCACAGACTTCCAGCAAGCTCTGCATGCTCCAGATCACGTACCTTTCCCTCTGCAGCACAGGAATCCTACCTGTAACTTACTCCCTGTTCTTCTTTGTAGAATTTATAACCAAGTGGATCTACAATATGTACCTCAGTTTGTCTGTGCTTCAATTCCACATATTTGTCATTATAGTATATGTGTTCTTAACCCTCTGGTGATAACGTTCACACATAGAACATATTTGTGTGAGTTGGTGCATAGCATTTTATTGTAGAAATATGCCAAAATTTGCTTGTCCCTTTACTGTTGACAGACATTCAGATTGTATCACATATATCTAGAATAAATACCAAGAGAAGGAATTACTAAGTTTTGGGTTATATGTGCCTTTAATTTTAATAAATAATTCAAAAAATATTTTTAAGTTGGACACACCAATTTGTCCTCATGGCGATAGAGAAGGAGAAGCTCAGTATTTTCCTCTATATTTCATTTGCAAGTCCTTATGTTTTTCTAATCAGGTGGATGTGTAATTATACTCATATAAGTATCAATTTGCATTTTGCTGATTACTAATGATGAATATCATTGCATTTTTCTTAATGTGGCCAATTGATGTTCTTTTGTCAAGTGGCTGTTCCAGCCTTTTTAAGATTTGTCTCTCAAAGTCGTATCATTTTTGAATTCTTACTGTGTAATGGAACTACACCGAACACTTTACACACATTAATCTTCAGCTATCTCTGTGATTTACAGAGCAGGGAATGCAGAGTTTAGGAGATTAAAACCTTGCAACAGATACGCAGTGAAGAAGCAATGAATTTAGCATTTACCATGAAGTCTTCCTGACCCGAGAGTTTGTCCAGGGGCTGATTAGGCTGAGGCCAGAGGGAACACTGACAGTGTTGGTACAGGAACAAAAATGCTGATAGCATAAAGAATGGCTGATGGTGGTTACACACCAAAGGAGTAGACCTGGAAATGAACGTCATCATGGGTGAAGAGGGGGGGATGGGAAATGTTGTTCGTTTCTCTATCCATAGGGTAGGTAGATTCCATGTTAGCCATATGTATTGATTTATAGTCTTGGCATTGTTAAAGCCTCTAAGAACATATCTTATGATTGTAGTATTTAATTGGAAATGAATTAAAGCCTGTAAGGTTATAAAGTTTAGGGTTAAAAAGAGAGCACAGTGTTTATTTGTGTCAACTCTTTACTTTCTAAAGGACGTAGTATGAGTTGCTAACAGAGAGCAGGTGGCTTTTTTGAGATTACATATCACCAAGCATCATGTTAAGGATAGACACTAGGACTGCAAAAAGAAATTGTACCCTAAACGCTTTACATGTTAGTACCCTTTGGTCCAAGTCTACTATCTCTGTTAACAAGTAGGCTCTGCTATCTTTATTGAACTTACTCAAGTAGCTTAGCACCATTGTATCTTTTTGCCAATGATTCTACCAATAAAACCACCCATGTTTTATTTATTTTACAGTTATTACCGTACGACCTGCCTGCATAAGGACTCTTCATTACTCTATTGCTCATGCAATAATTCCTATTCTCCTTAAAAAGTACCACATTCTTGCTCAGTCCCATTTCAGAGGCTCCGGACACCTAATTGGAGTGTTGGGAACTCCAGTGTGTCTCAGTCCAGCCCATACTCAGGTGTCCTTTTCCTCTGTGGTTTGCTGCATTTTCTCAGTCTGACTGTATTCACTCTGCTTGTTGCTTATAGATGCCCCCAACTTACAATACATTAACTTATGGGTTTTGTTTTCCCTCACATTAATGCATATATGATGTGCATCTACTAAGAACCATGTTTCAGCAACTAAGAAATGCAGAGACAGGAGAAATAGTCTTTCATAGGGAAGAACCTTCTCAATTGCTAATCCAGTACTAAGTGGTTAGCCCTGAAATCATATATACACAAGTAACACTATACAGACTGCAAATTACATTTACACTTAGAAATATATATATATGTAATATATATGTAATTTGTATGTATGTAGGTATGCATGTGTATATATAACAATAATGAAAGAAAAAGAGATCATGAATTTGAGAGAGAACAGAGGATTACATGGGAGGAAATGATGTAATTATATTCTAATTTCAAAAACAAAAAAGTCATTAAAAAGAATCCTGCTTCAGATTTTGAGGCTTGATCTTTTGCCCAACTGGCGATGTGTTGTAGGATACTTAATTGTGATGACTGAAAGCAGCAGGAATCTGCAGATCCCAATTAGCTGCATGAGATACACAACACTCTATTATAAAATAGGCCTTGCATTGGGTGACTTGGGCAAACTGGAGGTGAATGGAAGTATCTTGAGTCCATGAGATGAGCCAAGATATGATGTTTGTAAGGTTAGGTTTATCATTGGTGCTTTTGACCTCTGAGGTAGTATTGGCTTGCAATCAGTTTGCTGGAGGGAGCATCACAGTCAGAAGAACATCTACGCTGGCCCATGCTGATTGTTTTGGTTCCTTTCCCATCACTCTGACCACAACTCCGACAGACGTGATTTAAAGGAGGAAGGGTCCATTGTAACATGGAAGGATGTTGGAAGAGTTTCAGTCATAATGTCAGAACTGTAGTTGGATTCTTCCCGTGTGTTTGGATTAGGGAGTAGAGTGGGCTGCACTGGGATGTCACCCTCAAAGGTCTTTACTAGTGATCTAACTCCTGAAGTCCAATGCGTGACGTCTAGGTGTTCTAATATATGACCTTGTGGGGGACATTCCAAACTCAAACCTTGACATCATTCTTTCAAACATTTGCTACATTAGGAAGGCACAGCATGGCCTCTTCTAGAGCTGAACATTTAGAGCAGCATCTCAGGTCTCCCTGAGACCCACTGACTTAGAATATGTATCTTAACAAGAGTCAAGTGATTTCATGCACATTAAAAATTAAGAGGTACTGTGTACATTGGCTCTAGCTCTCTTCTGGTGTCTTCTCTTAGAAGTTATCTTTTCTCTTTTCCACTTGGCATTCTTTCCCAGTTCCTTTTGAGCAATCTGAGCAGATCCCCTCACCATGTCACGACAAAGCCTTATTATGCATCCTCTTGTGACTCCGTATCAACAAGGAAGTAGTCCTAGCCAGATTTACTTACCTTTCAAGCTCCTTTGTATAGCCCAGGCACCGAGCTCATACTTGTTGAATGATTGTTTCTTGAAATATGAATAAAAAAGAGACAGACAATACCAGAAACAGACATACAGAATGGCAGATGCAGGTCCAGGAAGACTGAGGAGGAAAGTA